CCGGAGAGGAGACCCTGGAGACTGTGTGTGTTACTAAGCATCCGGAAACAGCAGCCGTGTCTGCCACAGGCTTCATTGAGAATATTTTGTACCCAGACCCAGACGACCTGAACAACCAGTACTGTAACAGAGAGAAAGCTGTTGAGTTAATTAGTTATACTGTTAACGGCACTCTTTTCTAAAACACTTGAGTATAAATGTAGATGTACAGTTAAAGACAAAATTATTAGCCCCCTATAAAATATTTCATTATTTTTTAAATAATTCCCAAGTGCTCTTTAACAGAAATAATATTTTTTTTCAATACAGCATTTCTAAACATAATAGTTTATTTAGGAAGCTTGGAATGTTTGTAATAAAAATAGAAACAACATTATAACCAAGAATAAAAAAAAGTCTACAGGCCAAAATTATTAGCCCTCTGATGTTAGTAGTCAATGGTGTATCCCTTTTGCTTGATAACAGCCTTTAGTTGTTTGTTGTAGTTCTCAACAAGTTTCAGGCATGTCTCCTGAGGAGTCGCAGCCCATTCCTCCTTAGCAAATCTCTCAAGCTCCTCCAGATTTGTTGGTCTCCTGGCATGGACTCTGGTCTTCAGTGAGCCCCACAGATTTTCTGTTGGATTCAAGTCTGGGCTTTGTGCAGGCCAGTCAAGGACGTTCACTTTGCTCATTTGGAGGTAGTTCTACACCAGAAATGAGGTATGCTTTGAGTCGCTATCATGCTGGAAGACAAAACGTTGACCCAAACCATCTTTTGTTGCAGATTGCTTGAGGTTGTCTTTCAAAATCTTCTCGTAGTCTTCAGTTTTCATGATTCCTTTGACCCTGATGAGATTCCCAGTTCCAAACGCACGGAAACATCCCCACAGCATTATACTCCCTCCTCCATGTTTCACTCTGGAGACGGTGTTCTTTGGGTTGAGCACCTGTCCCTTCTTACTCCAAACATAGGCAACATCTCTATGGCCAAAGAGCTCTACCTTTGTCTCATCTGACCAAAGGACATGTTTCTAGTATACATAGTTTTTCTCCAGGTTGTCCTTCAAACTTCAGTCTAGCTTGGTGTATATGCTTCTTCTGTCCGGACCTCTAGTGTGCGTCTTCGTTGAGATATCAATCCCAGACTTGACTAAATCATTCACCAGTGTCTTGGCAGTTGTTCTTGGGTCTTTAGGACCCCCTCTCAATAGTTTTCTTTACAAAGTATTTGAAATCTTTCGCTTCCTGCCTCTCTGTTCTCCACTGTGTGGGTCTCTTCAAACTTCTTGATAATACTTCTCACGGCTGATCTTGACACTTGAAAACGCTTTGATAAACGTGTATATGCTTCTTCTCCTTTGTGAGCATTAACAATTCTTTTTCTCAAGTCTAAACTAATTTTTTTTTTCTTTGCCATGATGACAGTATTATTTTACTAGTTGTTTTGAAAGATAGTAATCCTCAGCTTACAGTGGAATTTAAAGGCTTAGAGGATTAATTAGGCAAGTTAGGTTAGTTAGGCAAGTCATTGAACAACAGTGGTTTGTTCTGTAGTCAATCAAACAGATCATTTCTTAAGAGGGCTAATAATATTGACCTTAGCAATTTTTTGTATTTTTTAAATAATTATTTTATTCCAGGCAAATTGAAATAAATAAGGCTTTCTCTGGATGAAAAATATAATAAGAAATACCGTGTTAAAGTTCCCTTGCTTTGTTAAACATCACTTGGGAAAAATCTGAAAACGAACTGAAATTTCATAGGGGGGGGCTAATAATTTTTTCTTCAACTGTACTACTGAATACTGTATATTCTTGTATTTGATTTAAGTGCATTCTGCTGTTTATGCAACATTTTGAGGTTAACATTACTTTTGTGTTGGCAGTAAGCTGATTTATTACCTTTTCTAGATTATTATTTTAAGTACATTTCCTTACAAATTTAATTCAATCAAAGCAACTGGAGGTTTAATACATTTTAAAAAAGGCCATATCGTAATTCATCTCTATTTAATGTGCATCTCGATTTAAAACCGTATACAATAACACAAAATATTAAATTAAAAACTGTTTATGAGTTTAATTTCCCTTCTGCTTGGTTAAACATTCATCATGCTGTGGTGAAATATGAGACATACACAGACATGCAGGACAGTAAACACAGCGTCTCACCTTAAGAAGTGCTCCAGCTGCATGTAGAGATACCTGATCAGAGAGCGGCGAGCGATGATTTCAGCGTGACAGTCGTTGAGCGCCAGGCCACGGTCGCTCATATACTCGCCGTTTACACACTTGGTTCCCGTGGAGACACAGATGACCTGTGCGTCCTTGACATCGGTGCCTGAGTTAAAAGCAAGAGGAAACACACCAACAAAAATCACAAAACATGAAAACTGCTGTACTGACGTCTAGCAATATCTACAACTCAAGATTCAGGCTCTGATTTCATTAGTGATTCTTTTAGTTATTTTAAGTTATCCTCAAGATGGCGGCGCGTTCACACGCTGCGGCTTCTCTCT